TTTCTCATGACATTTTTTATAGCACTCAATTGACTCTACAAAAAAGGTGATGACACAAATTTTTTTATCTCTGTTAGATTCCGAGAGATTCGTCAAAAACTAGCTAATAGTCAAAATCGACTTGACCCGGTTTACCGCTTCGCTACTGTATTGTATATTGTACATAGTATCATTTATAAAAAATCTAATGACACAATACGCCGAATAGATTGGCTTAAAAAAAAGTCACACTGGATGTATTATATATAAAAAAATAGAATACATTCCTGAAACTTTTCCTTCGGAAACTTTGATATGAACTTCAGAAATTTAATATAAGATTATTCACTACAATTGACATGCATTAAGCCCCATGGCGTAAGACAGACGTGCGCGAACTTATCTAGTATTTCGAGAAAATAAAAATTGAAATAAAAAAAAGCGTTAATGAGAAATTTAAAAAAAAGCCAAAGGGAATTGCGATAAAATTTAAAAAAAAAGGCTTTAAAAAATGAATAAAAAGAATAAAAATGAAATTCTTGTATTGGTCAATGGTATTTATATTCGCGCTCTCTCGTAAAGTCTGGAACGCACCTGGTCCCGAATTTTATTCAATGCTAATGGAAAAATGCTCCTCAGCGTCACGCACATACGCGAAACTCCGGTGTAACAGAGATGATGGAGCATTTTTTCCGGTTCATTCGCACGATGTTCGATATTTATTTATTCATTTCCGCACGTGTAGGCGGCCCCTAGTATAACTGAGACAGTCTGGTATGCTCTTATACATTCCTCCTTTCCTTTCTTTCTCGATACTTTTTTTCCTTTCATTCCTCCTTTTTCAGTCTCATTGGGAACGATTAATGGTATTTGCTTCAATCGAGGCTCGCGACGTCACTCGACGCCCTCGACTCAAATTACGTCAGAGATTCCGCGAGGAGAATCGCATACATACGGTTCAATTATTTTTGGGAATTTTTGCTTTGATGCAGAAAGTGGAGAAAAAAACAAATTGACCTAATATTTTGCTCGAGAATTTTATTTTCATTTCGTAATTTTTTCATGAATGCAGGCCTGCTTATTGATGCTCATAATCGATTTGAGTTTGTGAGAATTTTGGGGGGATTCATTTTTGATTGATCGAAATTTCCAATTTTATGTGGCAGGACAACTAATTTTGGCCTACACGGAGAGAAATGTTCGGTAAAAATTACGGAACTCACAGTTCGCTCACCGATTACGGAATCGACTCAGAAAATTTAAGCGAAGCTATCGTAATTTTTCACAATTAAATTACACAGTTGAATTAGTGAGATTCAGTTCAAAATTACGGGACGCTCCGGGAAAATTCCGTGACAGTTCCATAAAATTTCCTACAACCGCATTTCGCTCCGGAATTATGGAAAAACTACGTAATTTTTATTGAATATTTCTCTCCATGTAAGGAGTTCTAATGTGCCATTTTCCGAAACAGGAGTTTTTGGCGTCTTATGTCATCAATAACAAAACTTGAATATCTTTTAAAAAAATTCATATTTTACTGAAGAGAATTATTATAATTTCAAATAATCGTTTCTTCGGTTTTCCATTTATTTGTACGACATCGAAGGCGCGCTCCACGCGCCTGACAATTCCATAGATTTTATGATTCATCACGTTAATATTTAAGTTGATTGGAATCAATACGTTCTTTCACGTATACGAATTTCTATAGTATTATATTAAGAATAAATTCTTCGAAATCCATGAAAACTTCAATTGAGAATTAATACATACTCCGCTGGAGATCACTAACACCAACATCATTTTTTTTGAAAACACATTTTTTTTTTGATTCATTAATGATTTTCTCTTGTTTTAGATTTTTGGTTTTCTTGTAGGGTCTCAAGTGGAATAGAGCGGGAACGGTGGGTAAACGAAGGAGTGTGTATGGAAGGGGAGATGAATTAGAGGTTAAGATGGAAATAAGTATGAATACTGTAGGAAATATGAAAATTGGAAATTGTGACTCTATACCTCTTAAAAGTCCGTAAAAGGAGAATAAATATACTTACATTAACACCAACATCACTATCACACGGAGAGAAATGCTCAGTAAAAATTACGTATATTTTCCGTAATTCCGGAGTGAAATGTGGTTATAGGGAATTTTACGGAACTGTCACGGAATTTTTCCAGAGCGTTTCGTAATTTTTATCTGAATCTCCTGTGAAAAATTACGATACTGTCACTTAAATTTTCTGAGTCGATTCCGTAATCGATGAGCGAATTGTCAGTTCCGTAATTTTTACTGAACATTTCTCTCCGTGTAACGTACCGGCTATTTTTCATCATTAATTGCAACATCTGTTGTTGAAAAATTCATTTTGAAAAATAAATAATTGCATATTCAAGAGAATGTGCTCATTTTGCTCATCTAGACGTAAATCTCTCAAACTACTAAATTTAGAGAACAATGTCAGAAGACTCATCGAAAGTCCCTCCAAATTTTCTTCCCAAATCATTGATCGTCGAGACAATCAAACATTCAATAAGATAAATCCAACTTCGTATCCTTCACCGCTTGTACAGCATCAATTAAATTTTCATGTGAATGTCTGATAATTCCATTCTTATCTTGACTATTCCTCCATTTTCATCAACTTAAACTCATCTTCAATTAAAGAATCGACCGGTTTCGTGAAATAATAATTTTTCTCATTAATGATTTTTATTTGATTTAACGACATTTTATGAAATATCCTCCAAAAAAACGTTTTCCGTCTACCAACAAAATTCGATAAATTTCATTTCTAATTTTTTGATTCTCTCATTTAACATTTTCTCCTCAAATCATTCACATCGAAACATTCAGTAAGATAAATCCAACTTCATCTCTTTCACCGCTTTTACAGCATCAATTAAATTTTCATTTGAATGTCTGATGATTCCATTTTTATCTTGACTATTCCTCCATTCTCATCAACTTATTCTCATCTTCAAATAAAGAATCTCCGATTTCCTAAAATTCAATTTTTTCTCATCAACGACATTTATTTAATTTAACGATATTTTACCAAATTTCTTCCAAAAAACGTTTTCTGTCTACCAACAAAATTCGATAAATTTCATTTCTAATTTTTTGTTTCTCTCATTTAACATTTTCTCCTCAAATCATTCACATCGAAACATTCAGTAAGATAAATCCAACTTCATCTCTTTCACCGCTTTTACAGAATCAATTGAATTTTCATTTGAATGTCTGATGATTCCATTTTTAACTTGACTATTCCTCCATTCTCATCAACTTATTCTCATCTTCAAATAAAGAATCTCCGATTTCCTAAAATTCAATTTTTTCTCATCAACGACATTTATTTAATTTAACGATATTTTACCAAATTTCTTCCAAAAAACGTTTTCTGTCTACCAACAAAATTCGATAAATTTCATTTCTAATTTTTTGTTTCTCTCATTTAACATTTTCTCCTCAAATCATTCACATCGAAACATTTAGTAAGATAAATCCAACTTCATCTCTTTCACCGCTTTTACAGAATCAATTGAATTTTCATTTGAATGTCTGATGATTCCATTTTTAACTTGACTATTCCTCCATTCTCATCAACTTATTCTCATCTTCAAATAAAGAATCTCCGATTTCCTAAAATTCAATTTTTTCTCATCAACGACATTTATTTAATTTAACGATATTTCACCAAATTTCTTCCAAAAAACGTTTTCCGTCTACCAACAAAATTCGATAAAATTTCATTTCTAATTTTTTGTTTCTCTCATTTAACATTTTCTCCTCAAATCATTCACATCGAAACATTCAGTAAGATAAATTCAACTTCATATCCTTCACCGCTTTTACAGCACCAATTAAATTGTCATTAGAATGTCTGATAATTCAATTTTCATGTCAACTTTTTCTCCCTCCTGCCTCAATTAAAACTCCTTTTCAACCAAAGACTCCCCGATTTCTCTCAAATTATTTTCCTCCTCCATAAACGAACATTTCACGATTTTTTTACCACCAATTTCACGTTTACCGTCTAATAACAATTTTCCAACGAGTAAAAAACAACCTCCACCTAATTATACATTCGCATTGTTCAGCACTCAATGAGATTTATCGTTGGAGTAAATCCCCGGATTCTTGCAAACCCATTCATTAAAAACCGAGAAATAAGAAATTCCTCGCGTCGACGCGCCAATACAAACGCACCACCACTTGTTGCTCGAAACAAACTAAACGTGATTCTCTGCCGTAGTAAAAACTGCAACGACTCCCAAGAAACATAATCAAAGTGTGAAAAAAAAACGAGGGAAAAATCAATATTGACTAGACAACAGTGTCAACGTGGCGTTGGTTGTGGACGTGAATTAGCACTGAATTAATTGGCCATTTAGCACCGTCTGGTTGCCCTGTGTACTATGACTAATAAACATATCCGTCTCACGCGATCAGACACTGCATTGTCACCGGAATATATAAAGCATGCATTTCAAAAATTCGTAACATTTTTATTTTACATCCAAAACATTGGATTCAATCGCAAATAAACCAGCTTTCTCTCAAACAATTCACTATTTTTTGTTCATCTCAAGGGTCAAGCGAAGTGGAAAAGCGGTTTAACTCGACTCATCTCCCAGCTGAGTTTTTGAGGAATATCTCCGAATCCAAGGGAGATAGCGAAATTTTCGTAATGACATTTGTTGTAGCACTCAGTCCGCTCTACAAAAAAGTTTATAACAGAAATTTTGCCACCTCCCTTAGATTCCGAGATATTCATTGAAAACTGGTCAATAGTCAAAATTGACTTATACCGTTTTACCACTTCGCTACTGAATTCATCGAAAAAATTTAGCATTTGAAAGATTGTTTGTTAAAGTTGTCATCAGAATTTCGCATTTGAAAAATTGTTTCGAGTCATAAAATTCCATCAATTGACATTGCAGTTGAATAATCGTTGCGAGTTCTGAAAAAACAATTTTTCAACATTCTCAAGCCGTAACGACGAGAATAATTAACAAACCTGTAACACTGTGTGCCTGCAGAAGTAGTACGATGATTGGTGTCAAGAGGATGGTCTTGTACCGGGGCGATGCAGTACCCCGTCGCGTGCCCGTCATTTCAGGCGCCTTGCGCCTTCTCTCGTTGTCTCGATTAGCGCTAACCAACGATAACACAAGCCTCCAACAGTCCATCAACTGCACTTCACATCTCATCAGCCGAAAACGGTCCCAATTTCCGCAATAAAACCTTATCAACAATTAAAACTCCTGTTCCACTCACTGTTATACTCCTCAATTTCAGACACGTGAGAGACAATTGTTCATCGTCAGTTTCGATTTGCCAAGTCTTTTCGCATGAGTAGAGTTTTGCAATTTAAAAATTTTGCAATTTTGAATTTTCAATCGTTTTGCTGATTTTCAGTCGTTCGATTTTTTTTGGAGGTGTTTATCAATGCACTTGCCTTGATTTACATGTCAACTAAACTCTCACACCTCGGATCAAGGCCACCGCAGTATCCCGTGGAGAGACGATCGGTATTTCTAGCTATCCAACGTATTACGTTGTACATTTTTGCCTTGATTTTATCCACTATCGGCCTCTTTTATACCCCCCTCCCCCCAGGGTTCGTTAAGGTGTCCAAGTGTGTGACTGAGCACACTCGCGTATTTTTAACTTACTCCAATTCCGTCTCACATATTCAGGTGGGACGCACTTTTTCTTTTTCTACTGTTATAATTTGCCCCTCTAAAATTTCTCTCCTCCCCAGAGTGCAGAGAAAAAATAATGAATTTATTTGAAAAAAAAAAATGTCCTTTCTCAGGATGATTTTCCAGTTTTATTCGGCAGAATTGTGGGGGAAATTTGATTGCCCGCTGGGTTGCGGGACAATTGTCACAGTTTTTAATTCAAAAAATCAGTCGAGACGTTGGAGTTACACCGGAGTCACGCGGCCTGCACGAGAGTCGAACGACGTCGGCCGATAATCACCCGCGCGCACGAGGAATCGCTCTGATGCCTGCACCCCACTTCGAAAATCTCCCACTACTCCACCGCCTCTGTACCGTCCATCCGTCCGTACAGCTCTTGCCTGCTGCTAGCTGCTGCTGTCTCTACTAGTAGTTGGCCGTGCGGTGTGTGCTCTTTCCACCACCTCCACTGCCACCCCACCTATACCCACCACTTCCTTCTCCTTCTATTTCAAACGGAGAGAGGCTGGCTCGTGAGGTTTTTGAAAATTTTTGTGATTTTCAGTCGCTCTTCTGACTAATGAGTTTTCTGATTCATCAGGTGTGGCAGCTCAATCAATGAACAAATTTCTTGCACGGAGAAAAATGTTGAGTAAAAATTACGGAACTCAGAGTTCGCTCACCGATTACGGCATCGACTCAGGAAATTTACGAGTCGGTATCGTCATTTTTCACGGAAGATTCGGAAAAAATTACGGAACGCTCGGGAAAAATTCCGTGACAATTCCGTAAAATTTCCACAACCACATTTCGCTCCGGAATTACGGAGAAGTTACGTTATTTTTATTGAATATCTCTCTCCGTGTGTGACAGCGTCATTTTGGCCGGTCTGGACTATCCATTTTTTTCACTAAAAATTTTCTGGTTATTCATTGAGAATAATCCCGGGTCCCCTTCAACCGCATCCAAATCCCGTCCAATCATTTGCTATGACGTCACAAAGATGTGGAACGCTGTGTAAATTCCCTTCTTTAATGTAAAATTTAAAATTTACAACTTGAGCGTAATTTTGAAATTGGGGTGTTGCATGAAATTTTTCAAAAATTTGGGCTGTTTATTTAGTTTTGTGTTTATTCGTTCATTTTTTTATTTAATACGAATCTAATGGCCGAAGCCAATGATACACGGGGAGAAATGTTGAGTAAAAATTGCGGAACTCACATATCGCTCACCGATTACGGAATCGACTCAGGAAATTTAAGAGTCGGTATCGTAGTTTTTCACGGGAGATTCGGAAAAAATTACGGAACGCTCGGGAAAAATTCCGTGACAATTCCGTAAAATTTTCACAACCACATTTCGCTCCGGAATTACGGAGAAGTTACGTTATTTTTATTGAATATTTCTCTCCGTGTGTGACAGCGTCATTTTGGCCGGTCTGGACTATCCATTTTTTTCACTAAAAATTTTCTGGTTATTCATTGAGAATAATCCCGGGTCCCCTCCTACCTCATACAAATCCCGTCCAATCATTTTCTATGACGTCACAAATTTTTTTTTCACATTTGGGCTGTTGATTTATTTATGTATTGATTCATTCATTTGTCTATTTAATACGAATCTAATGGCCGAAGCCAATGATACACGGAGAGAAATGTTCAGTAAAAATTACGGAACTCCCAATTCACGCACCGATTATTACGAAATCGACTCAGGAAATTTAAGAGTCGGTATCGTATTTTAATGTAATCACATTCTGTGCTTTTGGCAATCACGGTTATCACACAGGCAATGGTAATCAGTGTAATCAGTCCCGTAATCCTGGGTAATCGATTACATTTTGTAATCTCCTGAGATGGGGTGTGGCTATCACCTCGACAGACATTATGCCATCCCCGGGACTTTATTTAATCAAATCAATTAATTCAGTAGCGAAGTGGTAAACCGGTATACGTCGATTTTGACTATTGGCCAGTTTTCAATGAATATCTCGGAATCTAAGGAAAATAGCGAAATTGTTGTGATTTCCTTTTTTGTAGAACAAATTGAGAGCTACAAAAAAGGTTATAACCAAAATTTGGCTATTTCCCTTAGATTCTGAGATATTCATTGAAAACTGGGCAATAGTCAAAATCAACTTATACCGGTTTACCACTTCACTACTGAATTAATCTCGATTAAATAAATTGAACGGATGAGCCCCATGCTCGACGAGGCCTAAATAAAAAATGAAAAAGGCAATTTTTAGGAAAAAAAAAATCATTTCATCATCTCAAATCGCATGACGAATGAGCTTGAATATCCGCAAATTACGTCTGCAAAAGCCTAAAACCTCCAATTATTCAATTCCCCAACATTTCCCAACTTCGTATGATCTCGCGTCATCAGAGCGTTCCATAAGTACCTCTCGAACGCGTGGGCAGTTTGTAACCCGCGTCCCAGACTAGACGCATTTAAACTGGCCTTTCATTCTTCAGCAATTTTCCTCACCGTCTATATCCTCATAATCACGCAAATCCACATTCTCGAAACGGGTACGTGTAAATATAAAGAAAACGCGTAGGAGTCCCCCGACTATTGTAATTGGTGGTGGGGTACGAGTGACGCCCCCTGGCACGTGACTGCAGTGGATCCTCAAAAGAGGAATGGAACAATAGTAGATAAGTAACAAGACCGGAAGCGACAACGTAATATCCGCACACATAAGAAATATTGATTTATCGATTCATTTATTTTTGAATGGGAGAGGAAACTTTAATCTTTAAAATTCAAGTTTTCGATGTTTTGTATTATATCCACGGAAAAAAATATACTTCAATTGAAAGAATAAAATAAGTATGAAGTATCTAAACATTAAGGAAGGGAAGGCAGGAGGGGAACCAGGATTATTCTCAATATGAATAACCAGAAAATTTTTACTGAAAAAAATTGATAGTCCAGACCGGGATTTGAACCCGGGACCTCCCAATTATGCATTGGTTAATAAATATTAAGTATGAAGTATATTATACTTGATTCGAATATATTATATACTTGATTCAAGTACATTATTCTTGATTCGCGTATATTTTATACTCAATTCAAGTATATTTTTTTCTGTGTCGACCTATTATGATCGAAAAAATGAAGAAATGCAATTTTTAGACGCTAGACGCTGTCTAGAAAGATCTGTATTTCATTATTTGAATCAAATACAAATCAGTAGCGACATGATCTCCCAGTTGAGTTTTTGAAGAATATTTCCGAATCTAAGGGAGATAGCGAAATTTTCTTATTACATTTGTTGTAGATCTCAATCGGGTCTACAAAGAAGGTTATAACAAAAATTTTGTTATCTCCCTTAGATTCCGAGATATTCATTGAAAACTAGTCAATAGTCAAAATTGACTTGTACCATTTTACAACTTCGCTACTGAAATCTTTAGACTTTTTCACTTGTTTCAGCGGAAAAGATCTAATTGTATTAAATAAAGTATTTTTAAATTTTAAACAACATTGTTCTTAAATTCAAGAAAATTTATTTCTCGCAAGTAAAGAGTTTTCTTATTTAAAGAAAATCATATTCTCGAGTTTATTTATTCCGAGGAAAATAAAATAAATAAATTGATTGTATTGAAGTAAGTAAATTTATTTGTTTTATTTTCGTTTGAAATGCATAAATAGGGTAATTTATTGCAAACGAAAATATTGATTGAAAAATGAATAGAAAAATTTCAGATAAAAATTGAAATGTATTTTCGGTCCAGGCTTTATTTTCCTCGTATGAGACGTGCTCCTCAGCATCATGGGACTCGATCCCTTCTCGCCGTGAATGAATGATAAACAAAATAGAGAGCCAGACAACCGCATAGATACTATTTTATTATTTTTACATGGGTTATTGGGCCGGATGCAAACGTCCGGTTGCAGTGCAAAAACCACAGTCACGCTAGTATTGCGGTGCCCATTTCTCTTCTATTTTCGAATGGGTTAAATGGAGAGAAAAGAGGAATAGGCGACATTGATGTGTTGTGGCGAGGTATTGAATGATCTTGAGGCGAGGGAATCTACTCTGTATTTGGTCGGACTCGGCACGTAAAAATTGACCTTCGAAGTGACGATGGATATTGGATATTTTTCATGCATTAAATTTGTTGCTTTCGCAAACGAAAATGAGGTTCATTAACTAAACTTTGGCGTTTTTCGTCATTAGTAAATTTATTTAATCAATTTTGCATTCGATTAATGTACAATTGCATTTATTAAATTTGCCAGTTTACAAATACCCCAAACCAATTTGTTTGCCACTAATTCTTAATGGATTCAATAAATTTATTGGCTACTTACAACTATCCTACCCAATACTTGATCGTATATATTTACTGTGATGAAAGAAACCAAAAGAAAATATATTCGGGGAATGAGAAACTGTAAGAGAAAATATTATGTTTCAAGGTAAATTTATTTCATTATTAATTTACAAGTTTAATTACATTAACAACCAGTGCATTTATTAAATTTGTCAGTTTACAAATACCTTAACCTAAATTGCTGGCCAGCAATTCTTACCCTATGCAACAAACATCTAACTTACTGCTATTCTGCCTAAAACCTGAGTAACCTCCTCTTGGAGGCGATCACCCGGGGTCGAGATCCAGAAGGTCGTCCACATAGTACATAACTGAGGCTTCGTGCACCCCAGTGTGACACCAGAAGGTCCGTAAGTGAAGACGACTGGGCGAGAGGCAGTGTGTACCTTCTGAGGTACTCACAACTGCCTCAGTTGTCCTCCTGACCGACCTCTGGAGGTCGTAAGCAAGCCTTTTCTCCCTCCTGAGATGGCGTCTGGCGGTGGCCCTCAGTCGAGAGTCACCTCGGCAGACATTATGCCATCCCCGGGATA